GAGGGAACCGATTACAAGGAACTATATGTGACCTCCTCGCTGGGGGATAGACAACCGAAAAGTGGGTGAAGGGAGACGTCGGACAGGGCAAGATATGACAAAATACCAATTTATAAACTATCAAGGGCTCATGAGGGAGTGGGGAGCGGGGAGGGAGGGGAAAATGAGGACCTAATGTCAGGGGTTTAAGTGGAGAGAAAATGTTTTGAGAATGATGTACAAATGCGCTTTACACAATTGATGTGTGTATGGGTTGCGATAACAGTTGTATGAGCCCCTAATAAAATGTTTTTTAAAAAAAATCACTAGAATTATTTCTACCCTGTTTCCCTGAAAATAAGACAGTACCATATTAATTTTTGCTCCCAAAGATGCGCAAGGTCTTATTTTCAGGGGAAAGACACAATTACAATAAAACTGAAAGTTTAAAAGTACAATAAAACATGTGAGAAGATAAATTCAATGTGTGTACCTTTTCCCCTGGATCTTGGACATTTTACAGGGGCAATCTTGATATTTACCTACGTCTCTCAATTAAGAATCCTACCTTATAAGAACCCGGAAGTGCTTCATTTTATTTATTTTTGAATATGATCAGCAACAAAATTAAACCATTTTCTATGATTTTTATTTATTTAATTATTATGTATTAAATAATTTTATTGGGGGCTCATACAACTCTTATGACAATCCATACATACCTCCATTGTGTCAAGCACATTTGTACGATTTTGTTTTATCAAATTATGTAAATATATTTCCAGTTGCTATTTAAACAAAGATATGGGTACAATTAATTTTGAATAAAACCATTTAATATTAACTGTTTAATTTTTAAAATAAAAGTATTAAAGTAAATGCTGAAGTTCATAATTTCACCAAACAACCCTTGGTCAGGAAAACTAATAAGAAATTATTGAAAACCAACTCTATGAGTAATTTCTCCCCTTTATTTCAAAGCTATTAATGATTGAAAAGCCCAGTAGCACAGTGGTTGATCACTCAGAGGCTAGTGGAAAGGTGGAATGTCTGTACTAGCATTATTCACAGTAGACCAGTGCAAACCATAACATCCAATATACAAAGTTACACTTAACAATGTCAAAAGGCCAATCCATTAAAAAGACATAACATTCCCAAATGAATATGCATCTAAAAATATAGTTTTAAAAAGCATGAAGTTAAAACTGATGGAACTGGAAAGAAAAATTAAAGTCCCCAGTAAAATGATTCAATCATCTAAGGACACATAGAAAGGAGATCATTAAGAATGTAGAAGATATTGAATGGTATACTTTGTAAATTATATGCCAATAAAACTCTTAATTAAAAAAAATAGGATGTAGAAGAGTTGAACAATACTACCAATCAGCTTTCCTTAACCAACATTTATTGAAAGACAACCAACAACAAAAGAATGCATATTTTTAGTAAGAGCATACTAACCATTTATTGTGAAAGACCAGACCGTATGCCAAGACATAAAATTAATTTCTATTAGTGAAAAATAATGTATTGATTGTGTACAATAGAAGTAAATTAATGTCAACAACAGCAAGATATATGGGAAATCTCTAAATATAGAGAAATTAAATAACCTCCTTTGATCACACTTCAGCATGCATCAAGGAAGACACTACAAGAAAATGAGAAGTATTTTATTGAATTAATAATGAGAACATGAAGGCAATGCATATAAAAGGAGAAATCAATCAAACAATATGAGAAACAATTCAACAGAACCAAACTATAACGTTGTAAGAACAGGCAATTGCTGCTCCATTTTATCTCTATATTTGGGATATTTTCCTCAATAATCCATTTTTACAATTATCCTGACCTCTTTTCTCACTCTCTCCTATACTGGAATTAAAAAGTAATAACAGATCTTATGGGCGACTTTTGAACAAATAAATATTTTTTGAAATCTTCCCTATTTTTTGTGTCTGTAAAAGGTCCAATGGTATGATTGTGTAGATGTATGTTTTCTCGACCTGATTAATTCTTATTTCAATGTGCAAAACTATGTTTTCATCCTCTTTCTATATCAAACCTGATATTTTGTTCTATATTTACCCTTGCGTAGCTACTTTTCTCTCTAGTTGACTCAACTTCAGGGTCTCTTCAGATCCTATAATTCCAATTCCAACAATGATAAGTGAGAAATTCATACAGTTCTTTTGTAAATATAAATTTGCCTTATATGCCTCAATCGAAATGTGACAATATACTTTAAAATACTAAAATAGGAATGATCTTTACTTCAGAAATGTAACTTCTGCTAAATCAAAAGAAAAATATTTAGAATACACAGAAGTTTATTGGAGAATTTTAATACACAATTTTATAAAATTTAAAAACATTTGAAACTTAATTAAATAAATGATTATTTATTTTTTAAAAAGAATAGTATGGTACATATCTATACTTACTATCAAGGAAAATATAATTTGTTGACTTGGGTACTGAGGCTGTGAATACTAACGTGTTTTATATATATATATATATAAAACACGTTAGTATTCACAGCCTCAGTACCCAAGTCAACAAATTATATTTTCCTTGATAGTAAGTATAGATATGTACCATACTATTCTTTTTAAAAAATAAATAATCATTTATTTAATTAAGTTTCAAATGTTTTTAAATTTTATAAAATTGTGTATTAAAATTCTCCAATAAACTTCTGTGTATTCTAAATATTTTTCTTTTGATTTAGCAGAAGTTACATTTCTGAAGTAAAGATCATTCCTATTTTAGTATTTTAAAGTATATTGTCACATTTCGATTGAGGCATATAAGGCAAATTTATATTTACAAAAGAA